TTTGGTTGCAGCCATCATTGTTGTTTGGTGGCCTGGGCTGGATTCGAACCTGCCACCTTAGGTGTATGTGGCTGGCGCCTTAGCCACTTGAGCCACAGGTGCTGAGCCCCTCCCTCCGGTCCTTTCCTCTTCTCCCAGGTCCCTCCCTGCCCGCCTCCCACCACTTAACTTAGATTTGCAGCTTCTATGCTGCATGTAACTAAGACCACACAGCCTGTGCTTTTTTTTTTTTTTTTTTGAGACAGTCTCACTATGTTGCCCTTGGTAGAATGCTGTGGTGTCACAGCTCAAAGCAACCTCAAACTCTTGGGCTTAAGCAACTCTCCTGCCTTAGCCTCCCGAGCAGCTAGGACCACAGGCGCCCATCACAATGCCTGGCTACTTTTTGGTTGCAGTTGTCACTGTTGTTCAGCAGGCCTGGGTTGAGCTCAAACCTGCCACCTTTGGTGTATGTGGCTGGCGTCCTACTCACTGAGCTACAGGCGCTGAGCCACAACCTGTGCTTTTATCTGTCTGGCCTCTTCCTCTCAACGTCGCGTGGAGATTCTGTTTGTGCAGTAGCTGTAAGCTGTGCTTTTTCACCATGCCATTGTATAGAGGCAACACATGATTTCACTGCTTGTTTTTGAGACAGAGTCTCACTCTGTGGCCCTGGGTAGAGTGCTCTGGCATCATAGCTCACAGCAGCCTCAGACTCTTAGGTTCAAAGAATCCTCTTGCCTCAGCCTCTCGAGTAGCTGGGACTACAGGTGCCCGCCACAACACCTGGCTATTTTTTCTATATATATTTTTCTTAGTAGAGATGGGGTCTCACTCTCTCTTGCTCAGGCTGATTTTAAACTCCTGAGCTCAAGCAATCCACCCACCTCGGCCTCCCAGAGTTCTAGGTTTACAGGGCACCGTTTTCTTATGGCAGGACTGTTCTGCTTTTGGTGGAGGGTGGGCAGCTGGAGAGTTGGAGAAAGGCAGAGGTGTTGGTATTAGGGTTAGGGTGTAAACCATGCCTGGCACTAGTAGACTCAGCTGTGTGACTGAACCAGCTTCTCTC